CAACAGTCCTAGTGCATATAATCCTATGCATTCACTAGACAATCCCTACAGAATACTGTCATGCACTCTTTACAGAGAAGGGAGGGCAAAACTGCCATTGCTAGAAAGCGGATACCTTTTTCCAGAGCGAGCCCAAGGTGTTTCCTAAAGATGCACAGTACTCTGTCTGATCTCTGCTGCTTCTTGAGGACATCCCAGGTTCCTCCTTCTCCCTGCCCTCCCCTTTAATCAAAGACTGCTGCAGTACTCTAGGAATGGCTGTGGTATCCTATCCTGCTGGGGGAGTTTTGGATATTGCTGCAATCCTGAAGTATTATTTCATAACAGCCCTTTCCCCTCCCCATTGGTGGGAAGAACACAGGGAAAAGCCAAACAAAGCTCTTTTTCACTGCCTTAGTCCCTTCTATGTCATACACCCACTTGCATCTACACGCACACGCACGCACTTTAGCGTGAGCACTCTGCAAACGCAAGCAGACAGAGCCTCAGGCGATGAAAGAAGAAGCCCTCGTAATTGTCATTTATCAATATTCATAGAGAACCTGCCTTAACCCCACCATTCACTCCCTGAAAAAAATCATACCCAGCCAAAATAGAAATAAAATAAAATAATGCCACTGCTCCTCATTACCAGAGGGAATTTCCTCTCAATGTCACCGCTATCCTGTGCAGTAATTGGCATTATCTGTTATCTCTGAAGTTAATAAGGTTTGCCATGGGGCTTTTTTTGTAATCATCTTTTTATTTGTCAGCTCACAAGATAGAGGAACCAAATATGAGCTTGACCAAAGGAAAATCCCAACACACACAAAACACAACTCAGCCCAATCACAAGCTTGGTTGGTGATGTCATGCCCAGCCAATCAGGAGTGTTTTAGCTGTTCTCTTCTATTTATTTCCAGATTCATTTCTCTCTGCAGCCTCTGCTTTTTCTACCTGCAAGGGGACTCCTCTTGGGGAAACCCAGCAATGGCACACCTGTGAGCTCTGTCACTATCACTGCCCTGGCATCCTATCTAGAGTGACTGTGCTGGGAACAAATTTAGCTTCAGCTCCTTCACAGTCGGCACTCCTTCCACGTTCTCATAATGACTGTACCTGAGACTGAAGTTACAATGTGCTTGCCCATACTTGGTCTCTGTGATGTTCAAAAAAGATTATCGATTTTGGGTTCCCCAGCTTGGGACAACCTTCATGATCTTGTTCTTCAGAGGCTGGATGCCTCCCAGCACTTACTGAACAGCATCTTTTTTTTTTAAGGCTTTCCACTCCAGATGGGCACCCCAAAATTAAGGCAGCGAGCATCATGTATGTATGAAAAATGCAACCCATATCACAGAGGCTTATACCACTGGCCTATGAAACCTGCCTAGCTGTGAATTCCTGCAAGCTGGTATTCCTACTCCCTGCAGTCCTTCAAAGGAGGACTATAACTGAAGTAGCTGTGAACTTTCCCATAGCCCACTCTTTTAAAAAAGCTTCTGCTACAACTGCTACTTAGAGGCAGATAGCACTAAGTTCCCATTAAAAAAAAAAAAGAAGTTAGACTAGGAAGCTCCTACTGATGTAACATATCCTTCAGACAAACACAAGCAAATCATAAATCCATTCTATCCCTTGCTTGGGCTGATAGTTTGAAAACCCATCCTCAGACACAGGCAATCCCTTCCTTTGGTGGGTACTACGGGGAAAATATCATGGGTTCTTTGATGCAAGAACTGTAAGCCTTCAGAGGGTTTAAGGCAGTGACGGGAGAACTTAGTACAAGGAAGAAGAAACTGGGAGCCTTAGGAATTTCTCTGTATCTTCAGGGGAGGGAAGGTAGAAGAAAATGAGAAATGATATGGGGTGGGGGGGCAGAGAGCTACCATTTATTCTGCCTGTGGGTTAGAGGCACCCACATTCAGTCATTAGCCAAAGGAGGGATGCCTTCATTTTTCAGTGTGGTCATAACTGGATAACCTGGATGATGAGGTAATTTGTCATCTCACTTCCCCACAATAGGACAAGGTCAGGCTTCATTGCGTAGGAAAGCACATTACATTTTACACACATGCACAAATGCACTCTGATTTCTTAAAACCCTTTGATGGTGACTGTTTAGATTTTGGCATCGTCTCAGGAGACACGCGGTTCTCATAGACATGGTGGAGGAGGGGGTTGCTCATGACTTACTTTAGGTTGACTTGAAAGCAAGTCGCAAAGCTGGGGTGGGGGAGGAAATTAGGGAAACAGATTCATTTCTTAACAAGAAGGACATTGCCTCACAATCCAAACAGGCATTTGGTGAACCTTTGGTGAGGCGATCCTCAATCCCTGAAAATTCCCTAGAAATTTTTAATCTCGCAGAACTACATACTCATCCAACAGCCTCACTAAAACCTTCAGCACAGTCTGTTAAAGACAGTGATGCCGAGAGCTGGCTATCTTCCTATGTGTGTCATACTCATCACAATAGTCCTTATGGACTAGTAGATACACTTGCACATCCACTAAATTCAGGAAAAATATTGAAGACAGTTGCCTGCACATAAAAGTTTGAATTCTTAAGTGAATTACCTTTGGTTGTGCCTGCACTTTTGTTTGTGACATGCCTGGAAATATTCAAGTGAGCAAGTATAATAGAAGCAATATTCATGGGGACAATACTTGTAAGAGACTAACAGAGAATATTTCCAGATTGTGCATTGTAAATTAGCCAACATGACACCTGAAGCCTGATCCTGGACAGACTCAGGAAAACATCCTTATTCAAATAGGGTGCTTAGTGTATATGTTTAAAGGCTTTCTGGAAACAGAACCTCTACGAGTTGAATTTTGGCAATCAGAGAATGGAAATATTTCTGTATTGATATACATATACTTATATATATGATCAAAAAGAATTGTGATCATAGGAAATTAGGGCTGAAAGGGACCTCACAAGGTCATCTAGTCCAGCCCCCTGCTCAAGACAGGATCAGCCCTGACTAAACCCTTCCAGCTACATGTCTGTCTAACCTGCTCTTGAAAGTTTTTGAAAGACTCTACAGCTTCTTTAGGTACCCTGCTCCAATGCCTGACTACTTGCATAGTCAGAAAGCTCCTCCTAATCTCCAGTCTACATTTTTCCTGTTGCAGAGGAGTCCATCTACATCCTTTCAACAATCACCCTTCAGGTATCTTAAGACTGGTATCAAATCCCCCTTCAGTTGTCTCTTCTCCAGGCTGATTAACGCCATTTCTTTCAGTCTTTTGTCCTAAGTCTTGCCTCCCAGGCCCCTATCTTTTTGTTGCCTTGAGCTGGACTCCTTCCAAACTGTCCACATCTTTCTTGAAGTGTGGGGCCCAAAACTGGACGAAGTACTCCAGTTCAGCACTGACGCCTCACCAGTGCTGAACAGAGAGGAAGAATAATTTCATTTGATGTGGAAATGATCACCTTATGTAGTTAGTGGCTAGTTCTGAAAAACAACTACATTTGAGGTAATCATGATCCTTTCGCAAGCAAAAGACCTGAAATTCAGAGAACAACATATTTGCTAGAGTCATTTGCTAACAAAGAAAACCTTCAGGACCTGATCCAAAAGCAAATGAAGCCCACGGAAGTCTCTCAATCACTTCATTGTTTTTTTCCACAGGGCACTAATGTTTTTATTGCTTGTCCTCTGCTAACTCCAGGCTCTGTTGATTATCAAGTTGTACATATCAACTGGCAATAGAACTTCCCAATCCACAGGCCTGTAACCAACATGGTTAATCCAAACTCTGAACTAGTCTCTTCCATAAGAATGATCTTGGTATTACCCTGTTGCTACCTTTGCTCATGAAGGAAGGCTCATCTCTTCTAGTAACATACTGCCTTTGAAATTATTGAGTATTTTCTATTTGGGGTTAGGTAAGGATGGGTAGAGCAGGTCAGACAATTGGGTGGCCATCCTCACTATGGGCATATGGACAGGGAATTCTGAGGACAGCAGCTGGTAAAACCAGAGAGATATAGATAATTACTGCATGATTATGAAGAAATAAACCCACAGTGATTATGCAAATCTCTGTACTCTCATTGTCTAATATGGTCCTCATCCTATCAGAATAGAGGGATCTGCATGCTGTATGCGGTTACTGAGAAACAACTGTGCAGTCTTTATGTAAATCATAACCCCTGAGCCAACCAGAGTGCAAAGAATTGCATTACTGAGAAATAAGTGTGCAGTTATGGGTCAGCAGCTGCACAGAAACCCTGCATTCAGATTGGCTGTGACAACTCAATTTCAGTATAATTTAAATTACCTGAACTTCTTAAAAGATGAAGTGGAAACTAGTTCAATTTAAAATCCCACCTGAAAGTTACAGGTTAAACTGTACTCAACCGTTAAATCATCCGACTGAGTTAACAAGTATCAATAATGGACTGATAAAGGAAATTACTCCCTACTGGAAAGGAAATTGAAGGCAACAGTGAGGCAAATGCCCAGAAGGAGCCTAGACAAGGTTGCCAAATGCCAGCAGGTTTCTTACAATGCGAGGAGGCCATAAAGTGATTCTGTTGTATTAGTAATTGTCTCAAGTTTCTACAAGGACTACCTCTGATGCAGCATATATTATTCTTGGTTATTGGCATCTGCCACCCAAACACATAGAAAGGAAGCCATACATCCCCCTGGGCTTTGATTTTCCTGGATAAAGCATTTGCTACAAATGATTATAACAGCAGCTGCCCCCTTCCCTCATGCTTACCACTGAACGTCTGGTTTGCTTCCCAATGGAAATCAGAAATGAGTCATTTTACATATATTACAATCAGGGCCAAAGGGAAGTCACAGGCAATCTTCTGCATGACCAATCTGTGTATGTCTCCCGCAGTGTTCACAGACTGAGCCAGGAAGCAGCGACATTTAATACAGCACTTCTGGACTCCAAAGAGCTTCACAACATTAATTACTTAATAGCAAGTAAAAGTTCCAGAAACTAAAGCCCCATGTCATGGCCACCACCTATTGTAAACCTGCTGTACTCACCATATTGAATGACTATGGCAGAAGTCTAAAGCAGAGATGATTTGTCGGAAGAACTTTCTGGCTTCTTTTGGTGTTAATCTTCCTTTTTTTACAAGATAGTCGAAGAGCTCCCCACCTGACACATGTTCTAGCACCAAATACCTAGAAAACAATGAAGCCAGGTCTTTGTTAGTATATATAATACCACACTTCCTGTTACACACACATACACATACTCCCCTTCCACAGCCCTGAGGAATTTTTTACATCTGTAGAACAAGACATTTGGAAAATAAGCAGCTGTGAATATTTAAAAGGAGTCAAGGGTTTTTTGGACTCTTGTAACTTTTAGGCAGGTTTGAAGAAGTGGGCTGAATTCAGTTTTCAGTGGGCGCATCTACATGAGACATTTACTGTGGAGTTGCCTAATTAGCTCCACAGTAAAGTCTCAGCCTCTACACATGCAGCCCTAATAGGTTGCAGTAAACTAACAAATGCTGCCATAGCTTAGTAGTTGTAAACACAAGTACTATTCTGCAGTGGTGTTATTTACTGCACTGCAGTGCATGGGTAGATGTTGACAGGGTTGGCTGGGGCATGAGAGTGCTTCAGTGTGGGGGCTGCCTGCTGGCTAGCCCCACACTGGAGCACCCTTGTACCCCAGCCAACCACTCCACAGCACCTTGAGCAGAGTTGGAGCAGTCCTGGATTGGCAGGCTGACTCCCCAAACCCTTGTCAGTAAGGGCTGCTCTAGCTTGGCTCAACATGCTGCAGTCCCAGGTTCATGTATAAACAGAGGAGCAATATACTCCAGTGCAAACTGCACCAGAGTTTTTTCAATTGTATTAATAGCACATGTAGATGTGCCCAGTGATTCCCAGGAGTAAAAGAATATCTAGAAGGTAAGAAGAATAGGAAGGAGCAGTTGGAATATGCGTAATATGGCCACTGTAAAAGCTAACAGAACGTTATGCTGCATATTCAGAGACATAAGGTCACTAAATCAGGGTGGACAGTGATAGTACCAGCTGCGGTAAAACCACCCACATACTGTCTGCAGTTCTGCAAAAAATTAGAGAGAATTCACAGAACTGCAGAAAAATGACGGGCAGGTTGATTTATGAGGAAAGATTAAAAGAACAATGTACATATATGCATAGTCTGGGTGCCCTGTAAATGGCTCGATTCTGTAACTCCACCCACACAAGCTGAACAGCACTGATTCACTCAGTAACTTCATGAGGAATACTCATGTGTGTAAAGAGATACACAGCAGGCGTATCTACATGAGACACTTTACTGTGTAGCAGACTAATTGGCTGCACAGTAAAATGTCACTGGGCACATCTACACAAAATGCTAACTATGTAATAGCCTAATAATACTGTGCAGTAGTATGCTAGGCAAAAAATGGTTAACTTGGTACTAAACTTAATGTGCAATAATTACGGTGCATTAATGAGCATGTAGACACGCCCACTGTCTACTCATTCATGGCAATTAGGGTGTAGTAGACTAATTCACTGTCCTGCCAGACAGTCCCATCAGATACAAGTGTTACCCGGTGATGGCTAAAAAATGATATGTAGAGATTTGCTTTTAGGAATCAGCTCCTAGGTAGAATAGATACTGCATTAGAACAATGATCCAGGGGAATGGCAAGGGTTAGTTGGTTTCTAAAAGCCTGTCTGTGGCAAATTTTCTCAGCCGTCAAGGCAGACACTCTGTCTGAGGCCAACAGATACTCAGGCTGGGAAACTCAGCACATGTACTATACTGTTCCCTGATAATCCATAACATAAGATAGGCTTGCTGCGTTGTAGCCAGGTCACAGTGACCAGCTGCAGAGCACTTGGGATTTCCAGTTTTGGTGGACAGACCAAATTAGGAGGCCGGGGTATGCCCAAATTAAGACATGACCAAATTAAAATGTGTGCATGTGATGGGTCTGGGAAACAAAGGAATACACTGACAGAAAAGAACATGGACAGTATGATGACCACAGTACCCAGAATCAACTGTACCTGGAGATAAAGAGTCATCAGGAGGAAAAAGAATACAAAAGGAGGGCAGCAAAGGATACTAGAAGAGGAAACCCAAGGCCACCATGGGCAGAGGGTGCATCACCAGCTCCTCTTACCCACCCCACTGGGAGGGGTGGGGAAGGGGGCACATTGGCCCTTGCCTTCCAAGACTGCTGATGTTCAAGAAAGAACCAAAGGGTGAAGCTCACATGCTGGCCAAGTATACCTTCCTTCTGTGACAGCCTTAGAATTGTGGGGGTTATTTTGTTTTCGTTGCCCGCATTATTCCTATCTGCTGTCACTGTGTATCAATAACATTTGCCTATTATTGAATGGAGAAGTCATGGTCAGTCTGAGGGTTTGGGTCCACCCAGAATAAGGTACCTGGGTCATAAATCCAGTGCCAAAATCCGGCAGCACAGTAAATTACTGTGCTTAAATGTACGTGAAGACAGTGACATTGGGATGAGCTTACTCTGGCTCAAATTGAGCTGGAGTATATCTCCAGCTGCATTAACTGCATGTGTAGATGCTCCCAGCATGAATAAGGTTTAGAATTAGGCTATAAAAGTGGAATAGAATAACTTCAGGCTATTATCAAGAATTTGAAGATATAACAAGGCAAGGAATGGAGAGGAATTGTCTGGGGTGGTTCAGTGTCATTAGAACTACGGGTAATGAGATGCAACCAAGCACAGGGGAATATATAGAAATGTTTCCTAACAGTGTAGCTCTATCAGACCATGGAATAGTTTCTTTAGGGAAGTGACAGATGCCATATCTACTGAGCCACTTAAAACTGGACCAGACAAAACATAGGGCAGGTAACAAACCTGCAATGGCAGCAGGACTTTCAAGAGAACCTAAGGCCATTTCCATCTCTACTTACTGTGATTCTTTGCTATGGCACAGTGTTACAGCTATCCTTGCATATACAGTATATTGTATGCATGGGGACTAAATGAGGCAATGATGCTGTGGTACTGTGCAAAGGTTTCACTGGTCTGAGTCAGAGACAATCAGTATTACCATGAAGACGACGACAAACTTTTTAAAAAGTGTTTTAGAGAGCTTTAATAATGTTCAGGGTGTCATTTTTGGACTCCTCTGTTTGTAAGACAAGGGTAGGCCTTACACAGCACAGAAAAAGAAAGGATTGCTCCAGGGCTATATTTCACCTTTCCTGTACCTCAGAACAGAACATGGGATGGGAATTTGGATGGAAAGAGAAACATATTTTGTAACCTCTCTTTTTAAACAGTATATTTTTGAAGGTAGTAGGGTTGGGATATTGTTGTAGTTGCAATGGTCCACAAAGTCTATAAGAGGCAGAGATTTTTTGTGACACTTTTTATTGGGCCAATTGTATATTAGAGAGAGCTGCTGAGCAAGCTTTCAGGCATCAAGTGCCCTTTCTCAGGTCTAAGTTTTTTGAAGCTACCAACAGACTTGGAATAGAAGAATTATCAGAAATGTTGAAGTGATATAGCTGGGATGCAGGGTTGCCAACTCAAGACTATTTTTTTTAAACTCACAATCTGCAAGCTTTTTACTGACAAACTTTTTTACTGACATATTTTTACTGGTATATGTTTTACATAAGGTAAATGTAGCTCTTCTGCTAAGCCTTGCTCTGCTTCCAGGTCCCAGTTAGAAGGGTTGGGTTCAAATTTAGAGGTTTAACATCAACCACAGTAAAAATGTAAACATTTGGTTGTCAGTGGTTGCATCAACATGAGACACTGACTGCACAGTCATAAATGACTTTGTAGTAACCTGAGTTACTGCACAGTAGCACTGATGACCAGCTGTTTTCTGACACTTACTGTACAGTAGCTTGATACTACTGCACAGTAGCAGAGCATCACTGTTTCTGTCATGTGAAGCTACTGTACAGTAGCGTCAGGCTACTGTGCAGTCAGTGTCTCGATGTCTCATGTAGATGCAGTCAGTAAAAGGTTTGCATTAAAAAAGAATGTTTTTGGATTGGCAACGCTGCTTGACTGCACCAATGGTTTTACACTGTGTTGGCACACCCCACTGGGCAGGAGGCCCCTACTTGCTCACATTCCCTGATGCCCCTGTACCAGGCTGCCCTTCCAGCCCACTCCCCAGGCTTACTCCTCTCAGCCTCACTCCCCTTGGCTAACACAGACCCCTAAAGAAGCCTACCTGTAACTCAGAAGTATTACAGACAGTGTGGGATGCAGCAGCAGCAGCACATAGCTGAGATAGTGCTCCCTGCAGGGTGATATGCTCCTGCTCAGAAACCAGGTAGTGTGGCTGTGCACTGCCTGTCAGAGCTTCAATCAAGTTGCAGCTGCTTAGTGTTTTTACTGATGGTTGAAGATTTATTACAGACTTTACTGAAAGCCATTTTAACCTGATTTTTTACTGATAAATTTACTGACAGTTGGCAATCTTTCCAAGATTGTCCAGAGAATATGCAAGAAACAAGGATTCTGCAGGTAATTCCTTTTATTGGATGAGCTACAAGGTCAGGACAGACTGAGACAGTCCTTGAAATGCAACGAGTTCTTCTTCAGGTCTCAAGAAAGTAAAGAGTGTAGAGCAGTTACTAACCTTCAACCTGTGAGCTCTGGGTCCTTGTCCCTGATTTGCCACTGACCCCGTTTGAATTATTTAGACACTGGGAATTATTTAGATGTGTGAAATGAAGATAACAGTTTGTCCCAACCTGACAGAGATGTATGTCTAGAGAGAGAATTCATTAAAAGATTGTGAGGTGCTTAATACTGTAGTGATGGCTGAACAAGTAGAATAGAAAACAAGCAAAGGGCAAATGTAATAAATGTCACCATCATTTTTTTTTTGGTAAAAATTCAACACTTCAAATTTTTGGCAAAATATCAAAATGCCAGAAAAAAAATCACAAAAGTTGTGCCAATTTTTCATTTAATTTCTTACATTAAAATAAATAAGGGAAACGAAACTTTTAATTGATGAAGCAGGTTTCAGGAAAGTTGCAGTAGCTCTCAGCCAGAAGGAAATGGATTATTGGCCAGAATGTAGACAGAGCTGTCATGAAAACTATGATAAATGCAATGGATTGTATACATGACACAGAAACAGATGTTAATATAGGACCAGGCTCTCTCTTTTGATCTGTTGTTTTT